GTTGTTTCATCATATTCTTGTCGATATCGTTTAAATATTTGTATGGGGTCATAGGCAGCTTTACGCCAAAGAAGATCAATAATTTTTAAACCATAATCAATTGGATCATCGAGTAAAAGTGTTTCACACATTTGTTTAAATCTATATTAAGGAAAATTTGTTTGGTTTAGAAATCATTTTTGTCTTACTTATCACGTAAACGACATGATTCAGGATTAAATATATTCTGTAATGAATGATGACCTGAATAACGATCGGATAAACGTTTTGATAGAGTTATTGTATTACTAAAATTAAATATTAGATACATAAAGATTTCCTTTAGTTTGCTTCTTACATGTAATTCTTCTTATTTTTATCTAGTTCTAATCTAGATTCATTTGATGCTACTTGAGATTGTGGAACAACCATGTTTTAAAGAAAAAAGTTTTTCTAATGAATAAACTTATCAAACAAACTCGACATACATTGGTTGTTTTATCATTCATTATATTCTCTTGCTGACCTCTGTTGATTGACATTGATTGTCACGATAAAATATCATTCGTCAAATGTATGTACATAGATATAAATTGAATATGTTGCCTCATATGCTTGTCACAATTTGAAATCGAGAATGTCGGATATTCGTAATTTTTTCAAAAAAGTTCCATCAACAAATAAAAAAGTAATTAATATATATATATTAATGATTAATAATATGTATTTTTTATTATATTAGCGTCCGCGAGAACAAGATGAAGATGTAGTTGAACCAGAACCGATTGTAAATAAAAAACCTAGTGAAAAAGTTGTACAAACTGTAACCAAACCTATTCCTGAAACAAGTCCGCCGAAGAAAATGAAAATAAAAGAAGCTGATCCATTGGAAAATAAAAAACCTAGTGAAAAAGTTGTACCAACTGTAACTAAACCTGTTCCTGAAACAAGTCCACCGAAAAAAATGAAATTAAAAGAAGCTGATCCATTCGAAAAGAAGAAACGTGTGGAAAGTTATAAATCATTTGTGAACAGAGGTGGACCTGATGCACCTGGTTCGAAAATAATACCAGATGGAGAAAAAAATTGTCTAAAAGATTTAACATTTGTTATATCAGGTATAAGAATTCTTTTTTGAGAAAATATTTCATTTATGGTTGTATTTTTTAGGTGTACTGGAATCATTAGAACGTGATGAATGTAAAAAATTAATAGAAAAATATGGTGGTCGAGTAACAACAGCAATTAGTGGAAAGACAAATTATCTTCTTACTGGTCGTGATGTTAGTGAAGGAAAAATTACTAAAGCAAAGGAAATAAAAATTAAGATTATTTCCGAAGATGATCTTCTTGAAATGATACGAACACATCCAGGCGATGAAGAATCATCTTCCATGAAGTCAAAACGAAATTCAAAGCCGACTATAGATCCAGATCAAGCATCAGAATCGACTTCAAAAAAATTAAAACGAGACTCTTCAACTGCAAGCAAGACAACAGAGTCTTCTTCGACAAAATTAAAACGAAATTCTTCGTCAAATGGAAAGAAGACAACAGATTCAAATCCTGCGTCCATTCCGAAAGTATCCGTTGATGAATCATCTTTATTATGTAAGTAAAGAAAGTTATGAATATCGATTAATATTTATTTTCTTCATTATAGGGGCTGATAAATATAAACCTGACACAATAAAACAACTCGTTGGACAACAAGGTGACAAATCTTGTGTACAAAAATTAATTGTCTGGTTACGTGATTGGTATAAACATCATGGCGATAGTAATGAAAAAATTAAAGCAAAACCATCATTTGGTTTTAATCGTAATGAAAATCC